CCATTAGTTACACACAAGTGACGCAGAACATTTCCTCAACTGAAACAAGGTCGTTTGTTGAAATAATAAGCAATAGCATTGACACAGAACTTCTCAGTGTGTATGCTAAGCAGAGAAAATACAGGAATACAAAAGACTATAGTAGAAAAGTTATAAAAAGCAGCACATGGCCATGTCTTGCTTCTTAGATCAGCAATGATTTGGCTTTGTTTTTTAAAGGTCATACTGTATCACAGCCATGTAGGAACAATTTGCCACATTTACTTTACAGTCATTTAGAAAACTTCCCTCAGCTGAGCATTCAAAGAAGATCTAACATCCAAGAATTGATTATCAGCTGCCAAGGGGCTGGGCCTTCACAAGCAACCCAGTCTCACTCCAAAGTCGTCGATATTCAGCACTTGGTCTTCCAGCGTCAGACACAAACAAAAAAGCCGTCCTTTCACATTGGCATGATACGTGGCCAGGCGCCATTATGTTTTTTGTGTGTTAAAGTAAACTGTTCAACTTTATCATGGTCTGATGGATCTTTTTTGGTGTGGATCATGATAAAGTGGATCATTAGGAGAGGTATATCACATGAGGTTCCCTGGTATTGCTAGTCTCGTGCCAATAGGGATTTAGTTGCTCAATTTGTGGCAAGTCACTTTTCAGAAATAAAGTTGCTAAGAGGGTCTGAAAAGTCATTAAATCTAGCAAGAAAGATGCCAAATGGGTAATGCAGTGGACAAACCAAATGCTCTAGAGAGGGCGTTTTGATTTTCTACATTACCCAAAGACCACCGGAGGTTCACCGTAGGGAGGGTTGAGTGAGGGAATATTCAGTTGGTTGCAATCTGCAACTTTACCACTAGATGGCACTAATCTGGTTCATTACAAGTTGGTTATATGCCTCATCTATGGCTATCATTTCTATCGGTTACAATAACATTGCACCCACCAATGTAACTACTGAGATCTGAGAACATAGCATCATTGCTAAAACATGTCTAAGGGGTAAACTGTGATATAAACTGATGAACAAAGATATCTGAGGTGGAAACCATGTTAAGTTGTTGAGTGACTGTTATTGGTTGATGGTACATGCATGACTGCAATCAAAGCAATAGTCCCTCTGAGATTTGAGGTCCAGCTCAAGTCTTATCCTTGTGCGTGAGACATCTATGTGTTTTATCAGAGAGAAAGAGGATGTTGGACTTTAGGTACAGATAACACAATCACAGTGGTTGGCATTTGTGAAGGGCAGTGTCTGAAGCTGTGTGCCAAGGTGAGACCAGAAACACCAACACATCAGGAAAATAAACACCCTTCATACTGATACTCATCGCAGGTCCTACCCTTTTATATAATCGTGTATAAATCCATCGTCCAAGCCCCCACCCCCATCCAAGCCCGTCAGTGGTGTTGTTGTGCCCAGGGGAATCTGCAGCCTTGACTGGCTCTGATCTGATAGAGGCTTGTTCGGGGGGGTGGAAGGGTTAGGACAGCCTGTCAAAATTCCCTCTGTCAGCCTTGAGGAGATGAAGTGATGCCTCATGGACCTCCGGCCCACTTTGCACTCATGATGCAATCAGCAATTCTGCTGACAACCATCATTCACTGACAAGATGTATATGTTTGTATATGTGTTTGTGAGTGTGTGTGGAAAGGGTGACTGTGTGTTTAGGTTTAGTGCTGTATAATTTTAGCAATGCACCGGGCTGATATTGGCATTATATTAAAGGAACCATCCACCATTTTGGGAAATATGTGCCTTTGTTGTCAGAGTCAGAGGAGAAGAATGATGTAGGCTATTTTTCATCACTGTATGGCAAAGGTATAGGCAGTAGTGCAGTCAGCTGCCTGCTGTGGGTCTGTCATAGTGGTACAGGTGTAGCCCCCCTTGCTTCCAAACTGATATGGACATAATTCTAATATCTGTGTGGATATGATGAATTTAAGAAGGCTATTTTGTCAGTGATGTTTTCAGATCATTCAGCATTCCAACCTATTATTTGTGTGGCTCAAGTAGGAGTTAGCCTTCCATGCATTTTTCAATGACTCTTTTCAAAGTTAAGGAGAGATACAGGACTTAACTATTTAACTCTGGCCGGCACAGTAGTGCAGTGGTAAGCATCATTGCCTCACAGCAAGAGGGTTCCTGATGGGGGGCTTGTATCCCAGGGTAGGAGAGCCCTGGAATTGTGGGGCTATATTTGAGACAACTCTGAGCCTGCATGGCAACACACAGCACCATTGAAGTAAGCTCTGAAAACTTTATCGTTCTCATTTGGCTCATGGTAGTTACATGTCACATCATGTTGATGTAGCAATGTGAAATACGATCCAGAGTTTTCATGGGTGTTTTATTTTGAAAATTGACCAAATACTCTCGTCTTTTCTGCGCCTGACTTCCTGTTTGACTCATTTGGTCTGTGCAAATTGATGTACATCCGTTAGAAATAGACCCGGCGTGTATTTGTAGCAAAGCGGAGCGCTGAGCCGCTTATAGGCCGCGGCTGGTGGGGCAGCTTACATTCACTTGAATGGCCGCTATTAGCTCTGGCACCCGTGTCTCAGCTGGATCGCACCCGCCACTGATCCAGTGGGTTGCCATAAATGGGCCTGTCCCAGAGGCATTCAACTACCAGAGGGCTTTTGAAATCTTCTTTTTGAAGCCGCGTAAAATTAAATGCTCTGATTCAGGGTGCCATACTTGCAAATCGTGAGGGAGGAAAGCAGTAATTTGTGTCTGTTTGTATGTAACTGATTTGAGTCTTACCTTTTGTTTTCTTTTCGTATTGCGTATTTTGTATTGTTTTGCATATCTGTAACTGTGTGAGTGTGAGAATTTTAAAAGAATATTTTGTCTGCACGATTTAAAATAATATCATCGCGTCCCTTTTTAGGTCAGGCTGAAGCTGTATCAGTCTTTGCCATCACTCGAAAGCAGAGCCGATGTTGACCTGAGTTCTGGCTCTTGCAGCATCGAGTTCTCTCTTAGTCAGTAGTCGGGTTTCCATCCACCTATTTTTATTCGCATTTTCAACAATTGCGATGAATCGGTATGAATCAGTGCATATGATTCATACCGAGTACGACCTGACAGATATGACTTGAACTAGTTAAAAGTATTCATGGACAGTTTTTATTTGGACAGCTTTGACAGAAGTATAGAATGGTTAACCACGTCAAAAGCCTTTTGCAAGTCCAAAAACACTGCTCCTACAACTCCTCCTTTGTCTAGATTGAATTTAATGTTATCAGTGAAGTAGCATCACGCTGTTTCTGTTGAATGATTAGCTCTGAAGCCGTACTGCATAGGATGCAGCAGTGCCTCAGAGTCCAGATGTGCAACCAGATGTTCAGCGACAATTTTTTCAGCTGTTTTAGAAATGACAGGTAGTATACTGATTGGTCTGTAATTATTTATGTCATGCTTATCTCCAGATTTGAATATTGGAGTTACAATGGCATGTTTGAGGGCACTGGGAAAGGTGCACTCCAAAACTGACTGATTTATAATCCGTGTGACTGGAGCGAGAAGGTCGTCTTTATGTTTTTTAAGGAAGACAGTGTCAAGTCCATGAATATCTCTTGCTCTGGTGCTGGTCAGGGAGGATAGAATTTTAATTACCTTTGCCTCAGTGGTGTGTTTAAGATTCAGTGTTGCTTCATCAGAGACTGTAATTTGGTGAATATGAGTTTGTGTGAAATTTTGACCCAGCTGTAGTACCGAGCTGATAAAATGGTCATTAAAACTGTTTGCTGTCATCTTGAAGTGTACCATTTAATTTAAATTGCGTGACTTCTCTTTTTGAGTCATGTCGCCCAGAGAGTTTATCGATGTTTTTCCAGTGTTTTACTTTTACCCTTTGCCTCCTTAATCATTTCAAGAAAAAAATTTGCTTTGGTTTTCCTGAGTTGCTGTATGACCTTATCCCTAAGCCCTTTATAGATCAAGCGATCTGTATTTAGACCCGTTTTTAGGGATTTTTTCAGGGCGGCGTCCCTTTTCTTCATCAGTTGCCATATTGAATCATTAAACCATGGTAAACTCTGTTTTGCCCTGTGTTTATGTGCGATTGCTTTTGTATATACTGTGATATATTTTTTTTAATCGCTGACAGCATAGTATCACAGGTCTATTCACAATTTATACCTACGGTTGTATCATTCCAGTTTGTTTGCCTTATTTCTTTTTCAAAATTCTCTCTATCTTTCTTTGGTATAAGTGCTATGTACCTTTCCCCTTCCCTGCTGTTCTTGTTTCTTAATCTCATTTTAGATAATTTTCTAATCACCAAAGTGAGATTATGATCTGATATACCAGTGATCAAATTGTAGGTTTTTGTTATACGGTCCGGTATTATTAGTAAAAATCAAGTCCAAGAGAGTTTGAGAGGATTATTATTATATATATTAATAATAATTTGTGTATTGTGTTCATTTTCTGAAACAGCAGGTTGTTGTTGTTGTTGTTGTCATGACCTGCCATATATGAGTTAATTTAACAGGTTTAAAACAGATCACCGCCCAACAGGCTGAAACACTTTGTGTTTATGTTAATTAATAAAGGTATCTTACTATGAAATCCTCTTTGAGTGAGAGGATTATTATTATATATATTAATAATAATTTGTGTATTGTGTTCATTTTCTGAAACAGCAGGTTGTTGTTGTTGTTGTTGTCATGACCTGCCATATATGAGTTAATTTAACAGGTTTAAAACAGATCACCGCCCAACAGGCTGAAACACTTTGTGTTTATGTTAATTAATAAAGGTATCTTACTATGAAATCCTCTTTGGAGTGTGCTGAGCAAAAGGTCAGGGGCAAACACATCCAAACGCCGTTCCACAAAGCTCAGACAGCACTATACCCTCTGCCTAGTTATCACCAATAAGCTCAGCATCCCTGACTGAATAGACTATCATGAAATCAGTTTCTATACTCACCTCATCTCATCTCTGCGTATAAAAAAAAATTAAGGATGGACAGAAAGATGGAGGACAGTCTGTGTACACTTGCATAACGTTCACATTTATTTGGTTTCAAGTCCTAACACATTCTAAACATGCTTTTAACACGTAATGGATCACATTCTTCACAGGTAGTTAAAGTAACAAGAGCAGACAAGAAATTTCTAAAGAGAAAAACATTTCAATGTTTCAATTGTCTGTTCACAGGTTGATGACAGTGTTTCTTCCCTGAGATATGTCAAGATTTTTCTACTCTTTTACTTCCCTCAAACTCTTCTTCATCTCATCTTGTGCTCCTGTATAACAGGGCTCTGACAGTGGTGCATCAACAAACTTCCAGCTCAAACTGGTGCCTCAGCAGACAAGACAACTGTGGCAAGATGTGGAGAGATGAAATCTGGAGCATACAGTTATAGAAAGAGTCTTCAGTGGTGGTTGTTTTGTTGAGTTGGACGAAGTGTTATGTGACCATCCATTGCTTTTCCCTTACGGATGGAGACGTGTTGAATCTGCTGACAGTGGTATCTCCACCTGTACTGACACAACTGCTAACATGATTAGCAAGCATGCTACAGAGTAGCTAGCAAATGTGTAGACGTAACAACTGATCTGAACACATGTGGTCAGCTGGAGATGCATGATAAACAGCGATGGTTCTCGGCTGTCCACTTGTGTGGATCACCGAAGCACATGTTAATACCAGGTCTAAACAGGCTCTCAATGTTCGATGCTGCACCTTTTTCTCCGTTTTTGCCAAAACAATAATAAGGCACCTTATTAACAGCTCTTTCTATAACTGTGTGCTCAAGATCTTATCTTTCCATTGCTCTAACAATGTTACAGCGCTAGGGTTGGACACATGTTGGTTTGTGTGTGCTGAGCTTCTATAGGAGAGATGGATGACGGATCCTTCCTGAACACAGCCACAAAAAACTGAAAAACCTTTAAAATTCTGCAACCTGGGTGTAATTTTTGCAAGTATGCAATAAGATGCAGGATTTTAGTTTGAAGGCAGATTGGTTTCTAAGATTACCCATCGCTGAGTGCTGACGTTCCACATTAGTAAGGCTGGAAGCTTCTCCTCTATGAGTCCAGCCCTAGTGATAACACTAGGGTAATCTGTCTGTGGTCGCATGCCACAGCGTCAGGGTCACCTGCGTGAGTGAAAGCACGTAAACACAAGGAGATGTCAGATTGACCGCAGTTACATTCTCTGATTGATAATCAGTCACAAGCTGCGTTGACAGAGTCCGATGTGATCCAGTCCCACTGTTACTGCTCTGCGTTACTTTTAACTGTCAAACCAACAAGCAACAATCATGGAGCACAATGGAAAAACACTGTCGTATCATGATGTTGTGAATACAGTGTACACAGCAAACAGCCACTCACAAGATAACGAGACGTATTCTGAAAAAGCCAACACAGGAAAATAAAGCATTGGTTAACTGAGCAAGAAATCATCACGTGAACGCTTAATCAGTACACTGACACTGTCATTGACATTCTTTCATCTTTGGTATTGGATTCATGATAACAGGGCAGGGGTGAAATAAAAGATGACGCTAATTTAACATGAAATTAAGCAAAAAAAAAAAAGGAGGCAGAGGATGGGGAGATTAAGAGTGTTCAGTGTGTAACATACTTTACAGCTTGAGGTCAGAGAAAATAAAAGCTGCTAACAGCAGTCTGAGGTAGAGAGGATTATGAGGCAAAATGTTTACGCATTTAAAAAAAAGAAGAAAACAGGTATCAGAGCTTGTTAGAAAGCCGAGAGGTCACTGAGTGAAATAAGAGACACAAAATAACAGAACATTGGTGCAATGAAACCAATAAATAAGACAAAAAAATCACCTATTTGAAAGAAAGCAACATGATGACAAATAAAGAGGTAGTTTCAGTACAGAAATTGCAAATGACATATCCGTTGTCTGCAAAAACAATACAAATACAGAAAATAAAAAGAACACTTTCTTCAGCGCCTGTTTCAAAATATGACAGGTAGGAAGTCAGAGCGGTGGCAGTAAGGTAGCCGTGGTGAGTTCTGATTTTATGTTGATGATATTATTTGCTGCTACATTAAAGGAAAAATCCCCCTTCAGATCCTCTCTGACTGTCAGATCTCAGCTGTCTGTGATGTTCAGTGCATTCCTGGAGTTACTTTGAGATGAAGTGACTTTGTTGTTGACCACCCTGAACCTTTCCCTTCTCTTCTGCTGCAGTTCAAAGTATCCTACATGTCTCAGACTGTTTCTGTACATGCAAGTTGGATCAGTAAACAACAGTGCAAAATGACACTCTAGAAAAAGCCCTTGCTCTTTAAATTCTGACACCAACACCTGAGATTTATTCAAATATTTTTTTTTGTAAATGTATACCATGGAACTCAATTGTTGCCATTTTTCAGCAGTGGTAAAGGATTTAAGGGGGATTTTCCTTTTATGATACATCACATCATACAGACTTTATTACATAAAAATACATATCCCTGAGATTATGTGGTTGTAAGGGTCAGTTCAACGAGTGACCAAAAAAACACACCTTCCCACTTCCTCGTAGTTCTACCTGGCTGTTTTTTTTTGGTTTTTCTGCTTAGATTTTAATTTGTCTCTGAGATTTCTGCCTCCACCCAAAAACAAACTTCAATTCCCTTCAGCTCCTTTGTTTTGTAGTCTGACAAGATCATCCAGACGTCAAGAGCTCAACATCATGTTACGCTCTATTTCAGTCTGGACTTGGTGTCGCCCGAAACACTTTCTAGAAAGGAAAGTCCAATCAGGCCTATCAGTGATTTGTACTGTAGCTGATAATATAAGCAGCCACTCAGGGACTGCATTGTAGTTGATGATGTAAAATACAGACTGCAGCTTGCAGAATGGCGGCTCCCGAAGCAACAAGCTCTAACTAACATTAGTAGAGTCAACCCAGCAATAAGCAACATTATTGTAGAAATAGTCAATAACAACAAGAGTACGCAGTTGTTGAGTTTCCTCAGAGGAAAAGATGGTTGACATTCTTCCTACTGGATTTGACAAAAGCATGATTTATCAACTGGCTCTGTTGGTGATGAAGATGTTCCCCAGTGTTTTTTAATGCCAAATAGCTGAAGGAGTTTGTGGCAGGACAGAGTCCAGACTGATACAAAGAGCGAAACAAAAATATTGAGCTCGCATCACCAGGCTATTTGTTTTGGTGTGGTGGCAGAAATCTCAGAGACAGACTTTTGAAAACCTGGACAAATGAAACTTGAACCTGACCCACTAGAGATAAGTGAGAAAATATTGTATGTTTCTTTGTAATTTAGGTGAAATGACCCTTTAACCTCAAAAGCCTGTATGCTGAATAATGCACATTTTACAAAATGGAGAGACAATATTCTCTACACACCCATCTTAACTGCTCTGGGGATCCTGGTGTCAGCAAATGAGTGTAAGTTCATTCAGGTTTAGAATCATAGATGGCTCCAAAACATCACATTTGCATTGTAAAATGATTCAAATAATACATAAAAGGCTCTGAGATGTCAGTATTGTCCATAAAAAAACGTGGCTGACATTGCCTGAATAATACTTCTTTTTTCATAAACTACAGTGTACAAGGGAATGAGTTAATAAAAATTATGTCCAAAGGAAAAAAAAAAATCATCCTATATTTAGAAAATGACAAGGGTCGTCTTCATCCCCCCACCCCTCCCCAACATAAAGACAATGAATATGTGAAAAACAACAAAACCCCCAAACATTCACATCATAACTACAAAGGTACATGAAAATGTATAAAAATCAAAAGATGAAAATAGGCTAACTGAAACATTAGAAAGAAGAAAACTGCATTGGACTGGTGTTGTTGTTAAGGCTGCACACAGAGAAGTGGATGGAAACAGGAGAGAGAAGCCACATTATTCTGAACGTGCCATTGCCTCTCGCTCTGTCCATCACCAATGCCAAGAGAAAATCCCCCCTGCATGTCTCACCTTCAAACTACATCCACTTTCACTGAATGAAGGGTGATGGAGGTGGGGACCTTGAGGGAAATAAAGTGGAAAAAGAAAAACACCTTCCTACAGAGGACCTACAATGTCCTGCAACCTACGTCTACTAATACTACAAGTACATCAGCATGGTCACTGAGGAACTCTTGAATGCAATACATAACACTCACTTTACCCTGTTAAGATTCAGGTCAGCAGGGACCTGAGAAAGAGGAACACACTAGGTGGGCAGTGGCCGAGGTCAAGGCTCAAGGTCTCCTAACCTCACCATTGTGTGCAAAAAAAGAGAGTTGTTGCGAGAACTGCATTTTGTCTGCATTTCAAATTGTTCGTATATCAGGAAACGGCAAAACACAACTTGAGGACACTTCAAGAGGTCGGAAATTATCATCTCGTACTTAAAAAATAAAGACCATTTTTTATGGCTTTTTTTTAAACAATGTGCATATCTGTCACAGAGGGTACACAAGCCTGACATAAGTCACCTAAATTCTCTAAATCTAGCCTGGATACACCGAGACATGACCGTATCAATCACACTGAATCTATCCCTTAAAGTGATAATCTGCAAACTTGGTATAAGCCAGATCATAAAAGAGATTTTGTTGGTTAGTCTTCTGGCAAGCCTTACCCAGTAAAAAATCCAGAGGACCAGATTTGAACTAAGTTTCAGGTCCACGCTTTCCAGTTCCCCTTGGATCTGGGTCAGGTCTGACTTAAACTACAACTGGTCTTTGGTCTGTGCAAAATTTTGATTGAACCTATTAAGACCTGAAAACAGTTCCTCTAAAACCGGTATGAGCTAGCCAATGACACTTTTGAATAGACCAATCAGCTTTTAATCTGGGGTTTTCCCAACCAGTTGGAAGGTGGATTAGCTAAGGGCTCTATTACGCTCAACATTAGATACAGAGACAGATGGAGCGTTCTGTCTGTACTTTGTGTTTATTTTGTCTGTATCTGAGCACACTTCCTGAAAGCTTGCAGATATGGATTAAACAGTGCAGTACCACCAGAGACCTCCTCCATCGTCGCATCGTTGTTTGTTGTGTGAAGCTTTTGACTCTGCCCTCTAGTACCATCCATTGACTGTGTCTATGCCATCATAAAAGATGGATGGAAGTATGAAAGCAGTGGCGTCTACAACGTTCAAATCGGACTAATCTATTTTCGTACGTAAAGGGAGTATAAATGAGCCTTAACAGAAACTAGCACTCTACACCAGCTTTAAATGAACTGGAGGCAGCAAACACTGATATATCTGTACCATGTTGGTGCAAAAAATGTATCAGCAAACACTGATACATCTTTTCCACCAACATGGAACAGATTCCGTTTCAGTTCCTGCACCTAATTCTGAACAAGTAGGAGCATTTCGATCAAAAATAAATTGGTTCAGAACCTGAAAAATTGATTCCCAGCTGGAACCAATAAATAGCAGGTTTTTCTTAAGCTATAGTGCGAACCGTGACGACATCAGTGAGCGTGTCATATTCTACAGGTTGGACAAAGAGGATGGAGAGGGCAACAACAGAGACAAGTGAGAAATCATTGGGAAAAAATGTGCATTACTGTGTTCATTACCAACACCCCATGCTTGTTTTTTGATTAAAAACAAGTATCTATCACAAGAGAACAAGAGGTTGCAGGTAATCAATGCAATCTGCCATCTCGCTACTACCAATCCACTACTCTCTACTACTGTTTACTACTGTTGTGCATTGTGCAATGCCCTATCTTGATGATGCACCCTTGATTACAATAGTTCTGATCAAAACAGGTGAAAACACAGGCTGGTTCACTACAAAGCACCAAGGTTCCAGGAACCCTGAATGGAACCAGTTCAAGAACCAGAGATTAATTGGTGGAAATGGGTATGAGTGTTTAGCACTTAATGTCGCCTCGGGTTTATTCGGCTCCTGTTCAGACTTGGATGCAGTTATTGTCAGTTTGGTTCTAGTAGGTCAGGTAAACATTCTTTTGACCAATGAGGACAACTCGCCGTTCAAAACTCCAAGTGTCATCTTTCTGGTTTTTGGTTTGTTCTGAATAAATTGAAGAAATGTAGACAGTACGGTGGACGTGAAACTGAAGTGATTGTGTGTTGAGAGCGGGCTACAATGCATCAAGTTCCTGGCACTGAAGGCAGCAGAGCCATCTGACAAGAAGCAGAGGGAAAACAAAGACTGGCAATCACATCTGCTCTATGCATATACTGTATGTGTGCACAAAAATGAGTGCATGTTTAGCAGCATTTAGAGTAAAATCCGGCAACATACTGGTCCGTCCAGCAGAGGGTTCTCCTCTCTAACACAGATTGATTCATTTCTTATCCTGATCCTTCATTGATAAGAAACCTTTTTTGTGGAACTATCAGCTCCCTACCCATCAATGGGTGTTTGAAAAAAGCATTGCATAACACTTTGGTCAAAAAAGAAAAACAATAAAACTAAAAACAGCAAATCTAGCTATCCACCCCTTCCCCTGCAATAAAGCCTTATATCCCCAGTCTATGATTGTAAAAAATACCCGTATGCTTCTTTTTCAACGAAGATCCCACAGATCCAACAACTGTCACCTTAACCTATGGAATGTTAAATTGACAAGACCGCCTCCCATAAGCAGGATGTCTGAGAGTCCATGCAGATAAAGTAGCTCAATTTTGTTAATTACTTTTGCATTCTCAGTGTAACAAAACACTGTTATTCAATCTTTGATTTATGCAGCTCCTCTGAACATTTAGTCTCTGATTGAGGTGCCAAAGCATCCACAGGGATTTGGATTTAGACTGGGCAACTCTTCATTTAACAGAAAGAAAAGGTACCTGAAAACAGCAACAACATTTTCCTGAGGTAGTCTCAAAACACTTGTCACATGTGTCTATCCGCCCCCATCTGAATAAAATAAACTCTTTTAAAGTCTAGCTCTAACGATAGCAACACTGACACATTGAGCAAACTGGTTACACACTTGTAAACTGCAAAGACCAATGCATCTACGAGCATTTGTTTTGTACAGAAGCATGTGCACAGTGTAAATCAGCATACATTCAGCTCTGTCGTGTAATAAATATATAAAGAAAAAAGTTACAAAAAACAAACTAGCTGCTTGTCACATTCACAAGACGGGAGACCCGGCCCTTGACTTGGGGGGTCAGGGGCGTCTAGTTTCCGGAGGAGGTGGTCACACAGGGCGACGGGCCGGTCCTGTAGCTGGTCAGGCTGGATTTGCAGGAGTGCAAGACTGCTTTGAACAAGAGGGGGAGCTGCTCCAAAGGGACATTCACCAGCTTCCCTGCAAACAAGTTAGGGTTAGACTCAGGGTTGTCTTAGCGTAGTTTGGCTAAAATAAACATTTTTACATTAGTTCCATTAGTATTACTGCAGTGAGTCATCGCATACTCTCTATTCTTTGACCAGAAATAATGCTTTCATTCATTAGTTTTACTCTTTTTTTTTGCTTGGTGTAAAATGTTGCCATCAGTGGAACTCAACACTTCCTGCAAATATTTCAAATTAAAGTCAAGCAGGACAGACAGGGATTATGTTGGAGGATTTTCAATGGGAAGCCACAGACTGTATAAATAATAGATGTAGCTACCATGATGTCATCCATTGGTTTTTGGACTGCCGTTTTGGGGCTTTGAGTTTGGCATTTTGGCCGTCGCCATCTTGGCTTTTCAGAGCCAGAGGTGACCATTGGTGCTTCTCAATATCAAGGAAGGAACCTTGAAAGGCTGAATTTCAAGGAGGCTACGTCATCAAATCTCACAGGGGGACTGTTCTAATGTCAAGGATCCTTTGAATTCTACCAAGGACCGAGTCCTTCCTTCAGAGAATTTTCAAGGATGCATGAGTGTATCATCAGCAGGCATGAAATACCCACAATTCTTTGCACACGATTTGCTGGAACTAAAAGTGGGGCCTCTTCAATGATGCACACCTAGGCACTTGCTAGCCTGTTTCAATGTGTGTTCACTGAATGCCAGGACGGAGTCTTGCCTGGCCTCGGTAAGACCCGACTTGGAAGGACCTGTCCTACCAAGGAAGCACCCTTGGTTTTAAGAAGTGCCACATATTTGGATGAGAGGGTCGTGCTGTGGAGGAGCGAGGGGTGGATCTGACTCACAAACTGTGGAGAAACCTCACAGACCGCCTTGTCAATCAAGCAGTGCCAACCTTACATAGTCATAACTTTGGGCCTTAATAAAATGTAAATGGGTAAATCACACCCGTACAGTTGTCTTGAATGCTGAAAGTTACATTTTAGAGACCAAAACTGTTTTTTTGTGCTGTAAACATGCTTATTTCTGCTGTCAAGTTGGCCATTTTAATATTGGGGTCTATGGGTATTGACTATTTTGGAGCCAGCCTCATGTGGCTGAGAGGCTCATAAGAGGAAGTGCAGTTTTTAGCACTTCATAATTGGCTTCATTTTTCAGCCCCAGAGGTTGCTGCTTGTGGGAAACATTAATGCAGGAAGTGTTGACTTTCACAGAAGCACTAAACAGAAAAACTTGAGGGAATATAAATATAGGTATGTCCTTTAAATGGTAAACTCTGTCACTCGCCTCACAGAGAGGAACGTTAGCAGCAACACATTCTCACTCCGACCTTGTCACATATCGACGTTTGGTCATGGACTTTCCACGTCGACATATGACATGCAGGGTACCCTGAATGAGTTGGCTGTAAATGTTTGGGACGCCCTGTCAACTTCAGCATGTTACATGCATTTTCTGTCTGCAAAGACACTTCTGTTTTCACAGCAAATGTACAGTTTGCATACAGTTTCTTTCAAAATAAGTTTTTTGTCCTTCAACATAAAATGCACAGGGTTTGGCTTTATAATCATGTGGGAAGGGAACACCAGCCTCCCAGGTTAAAGTCTGTGTTTGTTGGACCCGTCCACCAACCCTTTCACCCACCCTAGTGGGACTCTAGCCCCCTTAACTTATGTTGTTGTCCCGCCGCATTTTCCCCCAACGCTTCTGGGTGCTGTTACACAATATTGGTGACAGACTGCGTATCACACTGATATGACAGGGTGGCTTTTTTCCACTGGTGTCTGATGCCGGAAGTCACTGCCCAAGTGCCAGTATTTGATGACTGGGTTGCCAGGAGGTGTACAAAGGCTACACAGTAATTCCCCAAACAGTGCTGCATGTACAGTGCTGCATGTACAGTTCTGCCTCAGGGGTGTTTGCTATGTTTACATGTCTAATTCTGTATTTTTGCCTTTGTGCTGAACATTGCAGTAAACCATGGATGTATAAAGAGAACTGGACAGCATCTGAGGCACGGACCCGTTTTTTTCTATAAAAGTTGGTATGAAGCCAAATGGTTTGACTTCTGGGTGTAAAATTAACCAGATCTTCCGCTAGAGACTTAAGGCGGCCAAGCAACTTAAGTTTTGCCCTCTGTTAACTTGAATGGGGATAAAATGATTTATTTGTTTGGCTCCTCTAGACTTTTCAAATGTTATTATACTGAATGGATCAAATTCCAATAATGAGTCATTTAGCAGGGGTTGTAACATTTTTAAAAAAATTATGAAATGATTTACAGACATTTCTTTTAAAATGTAATTCTATGGGTAAAAGTCTTTTGGGGCCCCATGGCATCTTGTGACAGACCCACAAGTTGTAATTTAGTGGTCTAGCCATTATGTCAAATTGACTTCCAAGCATGGCACTGTGCCTGGGATCTTAAGTAACAGTCTTATCCTTTTTCTTTTCTATATGGTCATGGACATGGTCTGTTTTTTGTTTGTTTTTTAAAGCCCCTGAAGGAAAGAATTTTGTCTTAGGCCATTGGCTGTTGAAGCAGAATACCAGCCATTTATTTGGTTATGTAACGCTAGATGAAATCCCTCTAAAAAAAAAAAAAAGGAAGTGGTGCGAGAAGAGGAATAACATCCAGAATTCTTACTAGTGTCTGAAACAAGAATTTATGTCTTAAGTTACCATTATCTAAAGGCAGCAGTGTTTATTACACCATACAACAGACTCGTGTAGAATTTCACAACAAAACTGCTGACCATTGTACTATACAGTAATCGGAGGCCTTACCTGCGATGCAGCGGATCTCCGGGAGACACATCATGATCTCAGGGAAGCGTTTGGGCTGGTGCGGGTATTTATACTCAGTGTAGTCCTGACACACATACCAGTAGCGTTTGTTGAGCTGCTCGAGCTGAGAAATGTTGGACAGTCCTCTGATATCTGCACAGACACAAATGAAAAAAGAGAGTCATATGGGGGATGCTGTAATGGTTAAGAAAAGCTTAAACTCAGTAAGAGCACAGCTTGCATCGTTACCTTGGTTGAGGAAGTTGATGGCTTTCATACAGGCATACTCCTCATTACTGATCTTCAACTGGTGGAATTTGCGAAACAGATATATCAACCTCTCCATCACTTCCATGCCATCCTCGCTGAAGCTGAGGAATCACAAACAGACACACATACTTGTCAATTATGCTGGAAAAATGTAAAATGTATATGAAATAATAATGTCTCCAAAGGGTAAGGGATTTGTACCATTTGAAGCTCTTTTCCAAACAAAACAGAAGATAGGTTTACTGTTCACAGGTTCACAGTAAAATCCACTGTCAAAAATTATAAAATCCCTCAAGCCCCATTATCTTAAGCTTCTATGCTTCAATGAACAAGGCAAAAATTAGGGAGGGAATATGTCAGATCGACTGAAAGTGCTTCACAAACTAATCCCACAGCTTTTGAAGTAGTTAGAAAGATTCGCAAGGTTTAATTCCACTCATCAAAGCTCTTTTCCCTGCCTTTCTGGCTCTCGTAGTGCCAATCTCTCTCACAAACTTTAGTGCTATCACTGTAAATCAGATATTCACTCCTAAAGTGCAGACAAATTAAGCAAAGCAGCAGAACAGCACTGTATATTAGGAGAATGTGTGTCAGGAGGTCAGATAATACCGGTCTGATTTACAGAGATCCAAATCCCCACACATCCTCTCTTACCGAGCACGGGACATGCGTGTATTTCACATGCCAGATGGTGCTAGCCACAGCGCTGCCCTGAGGAGTCCTCCCATTCACGGACCACTTCACTGGCCCTCTTCCAACAACAATACTTAACCATGCTGTGATAAAGAAAATATAAAACGTTTGGAGATACTGAGCTAACAGAGTGGAACGTCTCGCCTTTGTAGAGGATTGTTGTTGCACTGAAGAACATTTAATTCCTGATATCCACCTTTATACTTGGTGAAATATTGAATTGGCAAGGCTTCCACAGGCAAAATCTAGTGTTTAATATCTTGTGTATGTTAAGAGCCTCCACGAAAGAGAGGTAGGAGGCAATATGAGTCACTATAGGTCAGATATTACCAACATATATGAATAAGGGTAATTTCTTCAGTCATTTTTCTGATTTGTAATGCAGATGTTGGCATAACCATGTGGCTTGCTATCACATTGTGGTGCTTTTGTCTGCTAGATCATTAGGCCTTTTCCATATACATGAGCTGGCTTGGCTTAATTTGCTTTGACTTGGCATTTGCATCTCAATCTAACAGGGTTACTGTTTGGCGGTGTGTCTTCACGCACTTGTGTCATGGCAAACACAACCCTGAGCACTTGATACTAGTACTTAGGGCAAACATTTGTCTAAGGCTTTCAGGGCTTAGCTGCCTATACATGTTACTAGAGAGTGAGCTGACAGGCTAAAGGTAGGGGATGTGGACCAACCTGTTACCTTGCTGTCTCGGCTCTGATCAGACAGCAGTAATTCGGTCAGATTGCTCTCTGTTTAGTGTTGGTACTCCACTGGCAGTTGATTTGTAGCCTTTAAACACGTGGACAATTACTTAAGACAAAATTTCATAGAGGAAAGGAGGAAAATCCATCATTCATTTTCTTCTGGTACTCAGAGACACCTCTCAGTAGGTAGAGAGACTGGGTAGGTAGAGCTCTGAAACTCTGCCTGAGCCTGATTGGGCCTGAACTGACCTGCCAGGCTTGGACAAGGCAGGGCCATGACTGAGAGAGTGAATGTGATGGAACATCAGAGAGGGAGAGTGATAGAGGGCACGTAAGAAAGGGACAGAAAGCGGGAGGAAGAGAAAGGGGGGGGGCTGCAAGGCGACTTAGCTGGCAGTGTTTGTTTCTGCCTGCCCAGCAGTGGGAGAGACGTGTGTAACATGCAAAGAAGAGTGGTGATCATCATCTGCATGCCACATCACCATATAGTTCACCGTTCACACTAGATGCATATAATACAAAATATATTTCTTTTATAGTAGAAATTCAGGTTTTTAAATCGGGCTTGGGCCCAAACTACTGCCATAGGTCAGGCTGTGGGTTTGGACAAAACTGTGCAGGTTCATGTTGGATGGGGCCTAATTTTTTGGGCCCAATCAGAGCTCTACACTGTGGTCCCACACCTGGCTGGTCCAAATAGTTTCTCTTCAGCATGCCCCCTTAAACTAACAGGTTCTATACCTAGGTTAACCCAACCCACCTAGCCTGACAGCCATGCAGGACAGCCAGCAGGGCAGTGTTCCTTGACACTTGTCAAGTCAATGACGTTCATAAGCAGCACCTACTTTGGTGAGATTTTTCTTGGCAAAAGTATTCTGCTTAAAACTGATGAAGCTTCTTCTCTGTCTGGCAATAGCAGTGGAAGCTATTTAAACATATCACTGAATCATATCTGAATGATAAGAAGCCCATCCGATGTAAAAATAGAGGATTTGTGCACTTAGTCCTTCTCAGGCAAGCTTGGGGGTTTAGTGTTGCTGTAGCTCAACGCTATGCGACCCTTTTCTTAGAGAAAGGATTAGAATATATGCAGTTCAAATAACCCAGCCAAAATTAATACATATAAATGCTTGAAGCTCCACTCATTACTAAAAGTGTATGTCATATAAAAACTTAAGTAATGGTCAAAGTTGTCATATGGAATATTTAAGGTATGTTGATAGAGTCACATTACAGCTCGTGCATTGAGTAACATTACATGTTAATGTTCCACCTTAAAAATCCCAGCAGTCGGCCCAGTGAATTAAGTAATTTTTTTCTCTGACTCTGGCTACTACAAGAGGCAGCAAAACTTCCTTACATTTTATAGTTACAATCTACTAATTAAAGTCTCCACAATATGAACAGTGGCTTCTGCCTCAAAACCAGCCACAACTGAGCCCTGAGCAGAGTGACCGTCCTCTGTTGGCCAATCAACAGACTGCAGTGTTAACATCTCCACCTTTTAGTACCCAAGGTACCCCAACAGAAGGGTGACCAAAAACGGTAATGGTATGTAACGTTTTCATTGGTACCATCCACAACTTTTCACAGTGGAAACAGAAAAAAAGAGTATCGAACTGAACCACACCGTACCGTACTGCTCGGTGGAAATGGGGCTTATGTTAGTCAGCCCACAAACACCTGGGTCAAAGCAGTATTTATTATTTTGTGGGCCACAAGCTGTAAAAATAATATTGACAGATTATGAACTTATTATATTGCTATGATGCAAATTTTATGTGGGTTTGTAAGTACGAGTGACTTTATTTACATTACAAATACTTATTTGGCCGGATGTTTATATAAAAACATTTATCAGTACAGCTTTAGGGTGATAAGTCAAATATCATCTGTGTTCTTTGTCTGATGCTTAAAAACAAATTGTAGAGGGTTAGGTCTTCTTAGGTCTTGCACTGAACTGATGGTAGCTTTACTCTAACCAAACCCTCTGACCCCTCTTTCCTCTCCAAGTCCTTGCCACTCACCCCTGCAGCTCATCGTCAGACGGTGTGTACTTGGCGGTGACATCAGCCAGGTCTCCGAAGATCTGGGCGCTGTAGATGGTGAGGCAGGAGAGCAGGATGAGCTCCTGCCAGGTGGAGCTGAGCAGGCAGGTGTAGTCCTCAATGGAGAGCTCACAGAAGAATGGTAGCTTCTTGATCCAGGAGATCTGACGGAAGAGCAGCTCATCCGCCAGACGACACAGCAGGGCAAACAGCTCCACCTGCGTCACTTTGTACCTGGGGAACACACCAAAGGCATTAGGGTAAGAAGCTAGGGTAAGAAATATATGTCCAAATTATTATTGTGTGAATTGAGATCAGATGTGTTCACTCTGGATCACCTCTAACATGATGCAAGTTGTCTGATAACAACTTAAATTCTAAATTCATGCTGCCCACATTGTTATGCACCACACTAATCGTCAGAGCTACAAACTAGACCTGCCAGTCGGCCAGATGCGTTCAAAAATAAACTGTGGCAGGCTCTATTCTCATAACTTGTGTAAGTTATTAGACTACGTGGTGAATGCTGTATCAGATTTGAATCCAATAAATGAAATGCATGTCTTCAGTGGGCTTGGGCCACAATTGTACCTCCATGATGTGTTATGTTTTATTTAGTAGAATATGACAGTGACTTCTAAACTGGTTAAGTCTATTTTGGCTGTGATGCAAAAAGGTAAATGTTCTTTATAGAATTTCTCTTAATTTCTCCAAAATTGAAATACTGTAGGATTTGCTGTCTCTGTCACAGAGTAGACAGGAGGTAAAGTCATTGAGTGTCTTCTGTAATGACGATTTGTATCACCAGGTGGCTCCCATTTTCTGCCCTGTCTTGGTATTCAAGTGGCTGCACATTATACATACAGAGGGGAAAAACATTTTTGACACTTCTTCCAAAGTTTTACATGAAATATTTATAAGAATTTAGTAATAAATGAATACAGTCCTGAGCATTTGGAGGCATGCTTGGAAATGGAATAAACAGACTAGTTTTTAATTGAAAAGAAACTCTCAAACAGCCACATTATTTAAACAATGTGGTGTCAACCAAAAAACACAAGTTGTTTCAAGTCTTTGCTAGCAGTTTGTATTTAACGGGCTAAAATATGACAGAACACTGGTATGGGTCTTCCATGCATGCATTATGTATACCTACGTCAAGATGTTTTCTTGAGTGTTGATGAAAAAATATGAGGTTAATTTTTTTAAACATGCAGTTTTTCACACAATATTCGAGTGGAGAGCATGCATTTAAGTTTTCAACTGAAGAATACTGTTCAATGCAATGCTAAAGCGTTGAACCTTGGTCTCCTCAGCCTCCATACAACCATCCATCCATCCATCCATCCATCCATCCATCCATTTTCAACTGCTTATCCAGGGACTAGTTATGGGGGCAGCAGGTAGAGCAAAGTGCCAGCCATCTTGGTTTTGTGTTGCACTTACAACACCTGGCCAGAGGGCTGTGGTGTATGGCATGATGCACTAGGGTCCACTGTAGTGGGTTATATGCAACTATAGCATCAAAACCCATGCATATACAAGAAAATGGCTTTAAATAGTTTTCACTATAGTGATCAATAATCAGAAGACGAAAGGAGAAGCTAAGGTTTCCTATCAGCATATCCTGTATTTACTGAGGAGGCAAATGGTCTGTGTTGTATCTACCAAAGAGCTAAGTGTAGGTGGTATCTTGTGTATGTGTTGACTCACCCATCTTCTATGAGCATAGGAGTTGCCAGGGGAGCCAGGTCCTCAGCAGCCACCAGCTGCAGCACCAGTGGGTGGGACTGCGGGTAGAGGCTGCGGGGCTGGGGGGCCAGCAGGCCAGACTGGGCGGCGTAGCTGAACAGGTGAGGCAGGAGCTGGTAGTGTGTTGACATAGAGGTGTTGATGTACTGGTCCCTGAGAGCTGCCGTGTAGCCATTCATTTCCACAGAGCGACTGAAAGAACACAAAGGTCTTTTATATCTCTCTCGTTTAGATTAACAGTAGGATAGGAGATGCACCTAATTAACCATCTTGCCCAGAGTCAGAAAAGACTGATATGTTCATATCTGCGTGTCCAGTACAGAGCTGAACTAACAGTTGACCCACTAGTGTCTGACGGGCTGTGAGCAATTAACTGCCGAGCTCAGGCTGGTGTGGGCAATATGAAGGAGATAGAATTTCAGTAGAAGTTTGGGCGGAGGCATATGGTTTGCTTACAAGAAAGTTAATGTGTTTTTGGGGTGATGAGACAAGACATGGCAGAGTTAGTCTCTCAAGAAAACTAAAACTGTGCCATTGTGACAACAAGTTGGATCTAAAGCCGACAGAGGAGGTGTCCTTACTGGCTACGAGCGTCATTTTAAGGTTGAGGTTTCAGTGGATGCCTTGCTTCTTTTCATTTCTGTCGCATGCTTTGAAAGCACTGCAATGGATGAAGAATGGCAGGTTCATGAAACTGAAATAAGGAATTATCTATACGATACCTCTTCGTTTCCCTACGAAAACGTAAATAAGGGGGCAGCTGGCTGGAGGAGGATCACCAGAAGGCTGAAAGTTTCTGGTAAGCTAAATGACCACTGGTAGGCTACTTGCTGTTGGCTTAATTGTATGGCATTTCCAATATGTGTTTTCTGTTTCTAAAAAGTAACATTACAAATGTAGGACAATAGAAATCAATCTACTCACCCATCTTTTAAGTGTCTGATCATAAGTGCATGGTTGACATTTACATGGTTTGTTTACATGACATAACAGAAGTGCCTATTTTAAGGGATTCAGTGTGGACAGATAGCCTTGATATTACACGATGCTACACACTAGTCAGATGCTAGTTTTCTGTTGGGAAACAGTGTTATTATTTTCCACTCAGGAATGGCTGCTGAGCCAAGTGGGACACCTGGTAAAATTCTGTATACCAGTCTGGTCAAGTGTTTTCACACCGGCCCAAACCTAGTGACCGCAGTGTAATCCACGTCATGTCCTGTGTCCTGCATACTCTGCCTTGGTGCCACCCCTCACCTAAATCGAACAAGTATTTCCGGTAGATGAGAACACTTGTGACACAGACAATCTCCTATTGTGTGCTGCATGTGAGAGAGGGAATCTCCAGACAGTGTCCTGACCTGATTCGCTGTACATTGTTCAGAGTTCATATGAGAAAACAGCTTAAATTTCTGTAATGGACACTTACAGACTGTTCCTTTGAACTTCATATCCTTTAACCTTTTGGAGGAGCTCCGCTCTTTCTTAAGAAAATTTTCAGAAACTTATAGAAAAACTTTGCAGTTCATTTTGTACCAGCATACCAAAGCCTACACTGCAAAGGAATGCTGTAATTGTTGTTCATTTCTGCTCAGATTTCACTGGATAAGACAAATATTCCTGTGACTAGCTATCAGGCTGTGGAGATAAACCGTATGTCTATACAAAATAAGACGAAAATAAATCCAGTCATGCGAGTAGCTAGACAATATTTGTCCTTGAGGAGTGCAGATAGACAATGCGCTCGTCTCCATAGCAAGAACAGCAGATAGTGCAGAGAGTTCTTTGTGTTTGCTATCATCACCAAGCCTGAGGAGCTTCATATTCAGGCATTCTTTGGCTTATGAATACCTTAACTAAAGTCTGGGTGAGATGGGAACGAGGTGTTAGACTGTCAGGGCCGGCTCATTATCTCAATGATGGGGCGAATACTGGCGCTATGCGGCTGAGTGGATGAGATGAACAACTCACTTGGATGACAGAGTGGAGGCAGGTGACGGCTGGTTGCCCTCAGAGGCTCCATTGCTTGGAGAGCTGTGGTCGCTATCACCGTTGTTGCCCCAAGTGTGCTCCGGGGCTTCCTCCTTGAACTCCTGCCCCGACATGATCCGCTCTATCTCCTCCTCTGTGATCTAAAACACACACACAAAGAGGGTGTAGGATTTTTTTTGGAGCTTACAGCACATCCTCATGTGACTGAAAGCACTGTGTGTCTCTGTTCAATTGATTAGCATTGACTAGCACCACACTGCTTTTCACTAAAATGTTGAGGAGCAAGGACGCAACCACACAGTGAAACAGGAGGCGAGAGAAAGAGAGGTGGCAAACAGGTATGTGTGTGTGTGTGTGTGTTTGCTTGGCTGATATACACATACCTAAAATAATAGACTCCTTGCCGGTCCATGAAGGGAGAAAACACAGACAAAAGCCATTTTGAAAGGCATTAGCATGCCAGAAAATGTGGTGTCTTGTATCTGTGGCTGGGGTCAATTCACTTTCATTTCCATCAATTCAACACATACACTGAAACAGCAATTCATTCCATTTTAATGACAGAGAGGTCCTCCTTTCATTAGGGCTTAGAAATAAAGCTGTCGTTTAATGGAAGCGGCCGTTTCTGTTTGTTTGACTTGCTGAATTGAGCTGGAATGAATTGACCACGTCCCTCCCTTGAATAGTGGCTAGTGTTACCTAGCCTCATGTCACACATTTCCCTTGCCATTTGTTCTCTCACCAGTGTTAATAATGAAGCCGGCGCTGAACAGGGAATAATCAGCAGCTGAATGATTATACTGATGATACAACAAGGTCAGGGCTCACTCACATTACATGCTTCAAAGTATCCCCACACCCAAATCATGAGCATTACAGCACTCCAGCTCGGTGTTATTTAAGTGAATGGCTTGTGCTCTGAATGCATTCATGGTGAGCAAGCTGACTCTGGAACTGAGCCACAGTAATATGTATAGAGTGACTCTGCAGTGGGAGAGGGTCAGTGAAGGTCACAAAAACAACATCTCTGGTAAGTATTCAACTTGAAGTCAGAAATTTACCTGTACGGGCCCGATGCTTTTGTTCCTCCCTCCTGGCATGCCATCCTCCCTGATTGCTACATGACAAAAAGAAAGAACAATAATCTAAATCTTTATGGTTCATAAACACAGCATGGCTCAGTAGTAGTATCATAGCTCTACCTAGTGGCTGAAACTAATCACACAGTGCTTCACTTCATAGCATTTATTTCCATGAGGTGATTTTTCAGTCTGGTTCAAACACAGCTTCTCCTGTTATTGTTGGCAGACAGATATGTTTTGTCTGTTTCCTGGGAATGGTTTGTTATAAGATGGGAGTTAAATGAATCTATTTCACATGTCAGGAGAACCATACTGTAATCACAGTATTTGGAGAATAAATCATATAAAATGAGACCATCAGGCTGACTGAGCACTGAAGGGTTTTTTCCACTTACAATTATCATTCACTAGGAGGCAGCGTTGTACTTAAACTGATAGAGCCATCTCTGGTACTCATTGCAGTAAGTCAAGCCAAAGAAAATCCCAATGTTAGGTTGCAAGTGGCTTCCTTCCAGGAAGTCAGCAGCAGATAAATCAGTTTAAGCATGTGACATGTTTGAGGTTTCTATTAAGACACCACAGGAGGTAGTAACATCGCCAAAACAGTGTCTGTATAAAGTGAACAGCTGGTAGGACGGGACCAAAGGCAGGACAGGTGTCATGTTTCGACGACTTATTATGCGTGCGGCCCACCGCGGGAAATTTAAAAAGTAACCGTCAGCAATTAGCGGCTGTAAATGTCCACAAATTGGTAAAACAATGGGGTATGGGAGCTCCTTAACCTCTGAGTAGAAGATGCGATAGATAGATAGATAGATAGATAGATAGATAGATAGATAGCTGCCATATAACAGGGATGGTGAAAAATTGCTAACAGAGCTATGTCTGTCTGTCTTTATGTATCATTTTGTCATATGGATCACTGTAAATTCATTATCATGATCTGATCTGTGCACACGACATCTATTGCACGTCTGTCCATCCTGGAAGAGGGATCCCTCCTCAGTTGCTCTTCCTGAGGTTTCTACCATTTTTTTCCCGTTAAAGGAGTTTTTCCTTATCCGCTGTGAGGGTCCAAAGGACAGAGGGATGTCGTATGGTGTAAAGCCCTCTGAGGCAAATTGTGATTTGTGATATTGGGCTTTATAAATAAAATTGAATTGAATTATCTGCATAGACTGAAATATAGAAATACTAGCCATTGATGGTTTGTAGGAACCCACAAAAAGAGAATCCATCACCCAAATAACTGTTGAGCTGTTGGCCCACCACACATATAATCAGTCTGACCTTGTTCTACAAAGATTAGACTGTGTGTTATATGATTTTTGTTGTTGTTTTTATGACTATTATTTTTTCTTCAATTAAGTCAACTTTAAAAGGGGTTTGTGTTTGTTATATGGGAATGTTTTGTTTCACAAGTTTATACATTGATTTTGTCCATAAAGAGACATGCGTAATTAAAAATGTTCTTTATGTTATGTCTTTTTACTTCATTTTTTTTGTGAAAATGTACTAACACTGTACATGGACATCTCAACCATTTGTAGAGGCTCATAATCATCAAAGGTCAATCATCAAATCATCAAAGCCTTTAAAGGTTGAAATGAAAACTGAAATGATGTCCATGTTATGTGCCCACACTTTACCTTTGCGGTTCATCCCCATTTGCAGACACTTGAGCAGGCGGCAGTACTGGCAGCGGTTGCGCTGCTTGCGCGACATCTCGCAGTTCTTGTCGCGACTGCAGCGGTACACACGCTTGTTACAGATGCTGCGCTTGAAGAAGCCCTTGCAGCCCTCACAGGAGATGATTCCATAGTGCAGGCCTGTGGCACGATCTCCACAGATAAGGCAAGTACGCTGGTCAGCTGGATCATCTGCAGGAGGGAGAGAAAGACAGAGAAAATTGAGGCATTTAGAACTATTTCCACCCACTTCTTTAGACTAATTCATCCACACTGTGGAAAAAAAATAGTGGGTGCAAAAACCTCGCTGGAGGCACAAGTTTTTAATTGAGATCATGGGGGCGGTTGGGGCTTAAGCACTAGCCAGGCACTGGCTAATCCAAAGGATTCTTAAGCCCCTAACTCTGATTTTGTGAAAGTGAAGGTGTAACAGGACTGGGAGTGGAGACTTCTTGTGTATGTTTTATTCAGCAGTTTTGATGAGAGGAGGCAGCAAGCTTAAATGACACAACTGATTTGTTTACAGTGTCTCCTTTCTCTTTTTCTAACAGCAGTATCAGTATCTACCTGGGAGGACCTCATATACAATTCAGGGTGTTTCATGTATAGCACCTGGAGTATCCTTGTTCTTCCAATTGGTGGCTAATTTTCTGATCAAGCCTCTCTTGGCCTGGACACAGGCGCAATCACTAACATTCCCTTTCCTAAAACAGCACACACAAGTCAGCAGGACAGGAATAAGTGAGGTCTGTTATTTGGAACACGTAGAGGGATATTCAGGGGCTTGAGGTAGGAGAAAGTGGAGGCTCACAACAAGGGAGTAGTAAGGAACATGATGTCCTGAACAAGTACATTAAAAAAAAAAGTAGTAGAAATTGCACTTGATGTGGGTTTATAAGGCTGGTTGGCAGCTTGCTGACCATGAAAGAATGAGACATTAAGACAGCAAGAAAAGAAACGGGCCAGAGTCTTAAAAACTGATTCGAAATGACGTTTGGATGGATGGGAGTCCATACGTATGTGACAGGGTGAGGAAGGGATCAAAGAAATGGGCCCACTGAGGACCTTCCTTGTGAAGTTACTTTGCTAATCATGAAGGTGCTCTCAAACTGTTAAGACAGCAAACTGAGAAAGCTGTTGAAAATCTTCTCTTAATCCCCCATCTACCTCAAGGCTACATAATGCACATAATCAAACTCACTGAGGAAGCTGAGAATTAAGTCGGAGCAAAATTCTCTGCTGTCCAGGGTCTTAAGCTTTATAGCACACATGCACAAGCACACACACTAAAAAGCCCTCCACACCATGCCCCCACCCCCCTGCTAACAGCCTCAGAGAGCAGATGGGTTGGACTCCATTGTTACAGAGAACAGGCTTGCTATGCAAAGCCTGGCTGCAGCAGGAATGCGGCCTGCTGCTGATCTGTGTCCAGACTTGACTTGGATGAAACATATCAGGACAAGATAGACTGATACAGCATGTTGATGTGTCCGTTATAATGGAGGTTCCTCCTACTTGGATGAAACATATCAAGACAAGATAGACTGATACAGCATGTTGATGTGTACGTTATAATGGAGGTTCCTCCTTTGCGTTCGCATCGCTGAGTCTAGTGGTGGTGTACATGCTTTTTTTTTTAACACGGTCTTCCTCCCTGATAGGAAGTCCTGAGAAAATAGTGAATATTTGTAATATTTGTGGGGCATGGAACACTCACTGTGTTTACATGACACTGAAAAAATCGATTTATTGTGTTAGTCTTACTGAAACCATATTTTTTAAATATGTGTAACATGTTAGTCTGAAATCGAATTTCTCAAAGTCAGACTAACACACACAGGTAATGCGATTGAGAGTCAAATTACTCCTGCATGTATACAGTCAATCATACCCAAACTGGCCAAGGCACTCTGCACATGCTCCACAGTTTCTGCCCCGGGCTTTGACCCGAAAGTCGAATAGCATTAAACGTGTAAAAGAAGAAGAAGCTGGTAACAACATGGTGAAATCTTCATCCATAGCTGTGCATTTTTAGACGGACGAAGAGACACAGTTCATGGTGTGTCAGCTGAAAGGGTTACATATTCACAGCATGTACGAAACTTACAGATCTGTAATGTTGTCCATCATTCTACCAGTTTGCTGCTAGCTAACCATAGCTAACTTGTTTGTCATTTGTTTGGTCTGTAACATAAAAGGTGAACTGGGAAAATTTCCAGTACTAACAAGCTGAATGGTGGCATATTGCCACCTATCGTAGTGGAGTCAGACATACTTCGGTCAATAATAAATGTAAATATATGTATGAACCACGCACAAAAAGTAAGGAAATTTTTTTTTGGTAGATTATTTCTTTGTTGTAACAATGCTTCTTGGCAATAAATCTTATACCATTGGGAAGCCACATTTGTAAGAAACATGCATTTGTGGGATGAGCAGCAGAGTGAGTATGTGGGTTGCACCCATGAAAAATTTGCCTGATTGCAACCTGCTACAGTGGTTAGTTGGTGACTGCTCCAAGAATTGGCATGCCATGTTTGACTGATCTGGATAGGGCCCGTGCGATAGAGCAACTTCAAGTTGGTGTTCTGCAAAACCAAGTTGTGGCATTATTTGGAGCGAGTCCTAGTACCATCTGCAAACTGAAGGCCAAGTTCCATCAGAGACAGGCCGCGGAGTGGGCGTCCCAAGAAGACGGAACCCCAAGAAGACTGTTTCCTCATCCTGTCAGCACTTAGGAACCATAGGCAGTCTTCTACAGACTTGCAGTCAAGGTTAACAGGACGATATGGCCGATGGCTCTCTGCCCAGACAATCTGGAACAGACTGCCTGCAGCCAATCTCCGGTCTCATAGGGCTGCCAGGAGGCCTGCCATGATTGCCCTTCACCGTCAGACCTGTTTGCGCTGGTGTCAGCAACACGTGCACTGGAACCTGAACATGTGGAGGATAGGAATGTCATGTTCAGCAATGAGTCTAGATTCTGCCTATGGTAGTTGGATCGTAGGGTCAAAGTGTGGAGAAGACACGGAGAACACTTTAGTGATTGCTACACCAATAGAGTAACATCTGTTGGTGGAGGCAGTGTGGCAATCCCATATCTCCACAGTTTGTCAGTCAGTCAACCCTTGCCCCCACAGAGTGGGATTTATCAGACTACCTCCAGAATTTGGGAGTGGAGAGGATGGAATGGCCTGCCAGCACTCCAAACCTCAACCCAATGAACACTTGTGGGATCAGCTTTGGTGTGCTGTTCGTGCCAGAGTGACCAACACAACCACGTTGGCTGACTTGCGACAAATGCTGGATGAAGAATGGGATGCCATCCCACAGCAGTGTGTGACCAGGCTGGTGACCAGCATGAGGAGGAGGTGCCAGGCTGTTGTGGCTGTGTATGGTTCTTCCACATGCTACTGAGGCTCATGTTTGTTAAATGAATAAATCGTTAAATTGCCAATATGTCTGGTTTCTTCAGATTTCAATCATCACATCCACCAAACAACACCAAACAAGAATCAACGGCAAAAAAAGCTGTTTGGCATTGGCAGAGAAGATTTGGCAAGTTTTTCATGGGCGCAACCCACATACTCAGCTCTGCTCTGCGGTGCAAATGTGGCACCATTTAAAAGGGAAATGAAAAGGCTTACCAACAGTATAGGATTTATTGTAAACATATATAATGTCCTTGTGAATTGGATAATTTTGCCAGGTTTAAAACCTTCTCAAATAAAACATGAAAAAATGGTCACAACAAGTTAACATGTGATGACACCGGGGCTCAGGTAGACATGGCTAAGGATTTAAAAGCCACCAATATCAGTGAGTGTGAGAAAGGCCTTAAATGGCTCTACCCTCCCTATGAAATAATCATTTAAAGTGGACCCCTTATCCTCTTTAACAGTCACTAACAGTCTCTTTTCAATTCAACATTACCCCTATTGTTACTCTGGATGATCAAGCTAACTCTCACTACATAGCTCATAAATTGTAATACTTTTTTTGCACAGTAACTAGAATTATGTAACATTTGAGCTCTTGACTCATTTGTTCTGAAGTGCTGTCACAGCCCAGCTTTCTCTTTTTGTGTTTGATCAGGAGATAAAGGCCTCCTGTAGGACTGCTGGTTGTTGGTGGGGGTAAAGAGCTGTAATGTTTATTAAAGAAAGGCCGTGGTCACAAGAGAAACATGAATGTGAGTGGACAGCAGCATGTGTGCTTTCATAAAGAGCTTGCAGATGAGGAGCTGCAAAAAGAGAATAGAGTAGAAATAACAGGTCTGAGGCTGCTGTCCAGCAGGTTAATGCTGCCTGCTGAGCCTGGAGATTAACCTGGACATCTGATGAACATAAGACTCTTGTGTAATGCAACAAACTGCACCACACACAGCGGGACCTTTACCCTCCTATGGGATTCTGTGGTTGGAAAGTCAATAATGGAGGCAGACAAGCAGATTTCCTGCCTGCTTCAATGAGTAGAGCAAGGCACTGACTGAACATAGGGATTTCAATCCCTGCCTTTAGGACTGGGTGATGCAGAGAAAATCAAATTTTGATAATATACCCCCATATCAATACAATGACAATATCGTAGTGTTGACTACTGGTGCTTTCAAAAAAAAAGTTACACAATTAGATTTTTGACAAATAATCATCAGTAATGTGGATAAGTGACTAAAGTGGGTCGAGGCAAACAACTGAAGTGCAAGAAAAGTCTGTTAAATACAGATAATTACATCAGTTTACTGTAATGCAGCCTTTAAAACCAGGAAAAGACAACACATACCATATTACAATATCCAAAATCTAAGACAATATATCATTTCACAAAGTGAGACATAATTTCTATATATTGTCAAGCTCTATCTGCCTGACTATCTAACTCCAACCATTAAGTTTAAGCCTTGGTCACACTAAAGGACAGCAATATTTGTCACAAATAAGAAGATGAACAATCACCCACTGCTATCATTCAAAAACATCCTTGCACTGGTCCAGACTGTGGCTTGATTTAGACGCTGCTTTTGTATCATGTTTTATGTGACAATACCTGCTCCAAATAAAGTTATTAAAGTTTTCCCAAAGTGCAACATTTGGCGTTTTTCTTCTATTACATTTTTTTTTGCACCTTTTCAATTCATTTTAATTTTAATTCATCTCCATCTATACTAACACACTTGAAGTCGGATATCACAT